AAGTATCATTAGTGTAAGTAAGTAAACACCACTAGTCATACAGTTTCCCCCATCTATATATTACATATTGGTTAAGCAGAAACAATTATATATTGAAAGGTCATTTTGTGATGTTAGTGAGATTCAATTACTGGTTTAAATCTTTGATTTCAAAGCTACTTTGCCCTTTAGGGCCACAGTTCATCTAAAGACCCTTAGAGACTTCAGGCCAAAAGCCTTCGCTGTAAAAATGGCTTCCATAATACATCAGACCCTTTGACAGGAACAATTAGGACAAGAGAAACTGAGACAGTGAAAGAGAGAGTGAATCGCACCGCTGGCTTCTTGGTAAATCACTACTGTCATTAGTGTAAGTTGTAAACAGACTACCAGTTATGCAGTTTCACTCTCTCTACGTTGTGACACAGAAACATGATGTATTGAAAAAGTAATTCCGTAATGCATTTCAGGTTAGTGAGATTCAATCACTGGCGTAATTCTTTAATTTCAAAAGCTACTTTGCCCCTCAGGGCCACAGTAAATCTGGTCTAAAGACCCTGAGAGATCTGAGACTGTAAAAATGGCTTCCGTAATACATCAGGTCCTTTGACAGGAACAATTAACTGAACAAATTAATGATGAAAAGAACAATTAGGACAAGAGAAACTGAGACAGTGAAAGAGACAGTGAAAGAGACAGTGAAAGAGACAGTGAATGAGACAGTGAAAGAGACAGTGAATGAGGCAGTGAAAGAGACAGTGAAATAGACAGTGAAAGAGAGTGAAAGAGACAGTGAAAGAGACAGTGAAAGAGACAGTGAAAGAGACAGTAAAAGAGACAGTGAAAGAGACAGTGAAAGAGACAGTGAATGAGACAGTGAAAGAGACAGTGAATGAGACAGTGAAAGAGACAGTGAAAGAGACAGTGAAAGAGACAGTGAATGAGACAGTGAAAGAGACAGTGAAAGAGACAGTGAAAGAGACAGTGAATGAGACAGTGAAAGAGACAGTGAAAGAGACAGTGAAAGAGACAGTGAATGAGACAGTGAAAGAGACAGTGAAAGAGACAGTGAAAGAGACAGTGAAAGAGACAGTGAAGGAGACAGTGAATGAGACAGTGAAAGAGACAGTGAAAGAGAGTGAAAGAGACAGTGAAAGAGACAGTGAATGAGACAGTGAATGAGACAGTGAAAGAGACAGTGAAAGAGACAGTGAAAGAGACAGTGAAAGAGACAGTGAATGAGACAGTGAAATAGACAGTGAAAGAGACAGTGAAAGAGACAGTGAAAGAGACAGTAAAAGAGACAGTGAAAGAGACAGTGAAAGAGAGAGTGAATGGCACCACTGGCTGCTATGTAAATCAGAACATGTACCTTCATCAGGGTCTCTTCATTAGGTGTAATTAGCTGTAGTAATTCACCTAGAGATAGCAGACACACTCCCTCTTGTTAGTGATATAATCAGGTGTGTGCGTGCTTGTGTGTGTGTGTGTGTGTGTGTCTACTGATTATTGTCAGTCATGCCTGCAATTTATTTTGTTCACCTGCTGTAAAATTATACTTGCCAGCTATCTGTAAACCCATAGCTTTGGTTAAGTATTTTATGAGGGTCTTATTTCCAAAGTTGTGCCCCTTTTAAATTCAATTATTATTCTTCTAGCAACAAGTCGATCATTATTCTAATAATATATTTCACATCGCCAGAGCATGCACCTTTAAATGGGCAGCTTTATACACGGTTGAAACATGGTTAACAAGTCACAAACTGGCGTGTGCGCAACAATCACTTGACTTTGGTGCCTTATGCTGTAAAATGATACTTGCCAGCTATCTGTAAACCCACAGCTTTGGTGAAGTATTTTAATGAGGGTCTTATTTCCTTAAAATACAGAGATAATGTTATTTAGTCTATTATTCTGCTTTGACATTGTCTTGGTTTAACGCTTTTATACAGGTGACGCCACATTACTACTCTCTGCTTGAGCATATCAATATTGTCACATATAAAGACATCTGCACTGGATGATGGGGATGATAGATCTTTGTCCATGACTGTGCTCATTTCACCTGTCATCTTTTAAAATAGACTATCCTAGTCTTATATCAAAATGTTAACTACATTCTTGAAAGGTGCTGTGAATTCAAAAACGCCCAGTTGACATTCTGGAGAGCACCTCGGACAGAGCGATGTCTGAAGTGAAGTCTCTTTTCTCTTAGAGAACGGATCAGAAACCATCTTTGCTGGTCCGGCCTGACATTTCAACAGCGCCGCAAATTGCTCTGGGTTCAAGGGTCTCCACCGGCGTAGTACAGAGGGGAGGCGTCTGGCAGAGGGACTGGCTAAGGGTTAACAGGGTCACTGAGAATAATGAGACAAGGGAGAAAGAGGGAGAAAGGAAGAAGGAGGGAGA